GAGCTTGGATGCTAGTGTTGAAGTTGGAAGAGTGAGTGATACGGAAAAGGGTATCGATGTGTTTGGAAAGTCTGAGGACAGATTAGCTCAGCATCGGGTCACAGTAGACGATAGACATACCTGTCAGTATCCGAGCTCGTGAAAGGATAGGCTCGGTTAACACCCGTCAAGACTGCAGAAACCAGCTTGTCACGCATTTCTTCCTCCTGTGCTTGACTCTTTGCTGGATCATCTTTTCCTTTGCCCTTCTTACCCTTACCGAATTTGCCTTGATTCTTGTCTTTGCCATCCTTGACAGGCTTCAGAAGAGCAACAAAGAGCGCAAAGTATATATCCAAGAGCTGTAGGGCAACACTCTCCTCCTTCAAACTAAGAACGGTCTGGTTCAAGGTAATGATAGCGTAGTACTTGGCGTGCTGGCTCTGGCCCGGCCGGAAGAGGACCTCTTCAACCGCCTTGATGATGGTGGGTTTCATCAAAGGATGAGCTTGCTCAAGTTGCAAAAGCAGATAGGAAGCTCTCGAGGCGATTTTCCTGGCCTTGTCGCCGAGTTTGTTGACCAACAACCGTAACAGGTTTGCTTCCTGCTCCGACTTTTCCTTCAGCAGCTCATAGACATAACTCACAGCTCTGGAGCGCGAAAACTCAATCTCGTCATTGCACCACACTTCTAAGATCTTCAGAACCTCAAAGTATTGATCCTTCAGGAAGTGTTCATACGCCCACATGATGAGATGGCTGTTTTGTAAACCTCCAGGAAGAGGGTCGCCTTCCGACCATCTGCTTCCAGCTCCTTGGAATGCCGCCATGAGGGCTGGCTGGTTTCCAAACGTCTTCAATCTCCGATCAATGGGAAGCAATGTACCCTGAGCAAACATATCCTTCAGCGATCTCAGAACTTCCACCGCTTGGGCTCGACTGCGCTTCTTGCCCAGACTAATCAAATTCTCAAGCTGCTTGGTGTTGTGCACTGGCGACTCTTGCACAGCGAGCGTCAAAGCTGAAATCTTGTCGCTGAGGGTACCGGTCGACATGATGGTGGTGTAGAATTTGTGAGAGGAAGAGGAAGATGCTTGTTGCGCCTCCGAGTACATCTTAGTCTCCTTCTCAAGGAGTGAGATGGCATAATTGTGAACGCGTTCCACCAATTGACGGGGCAAAGCCTTCACTTGTTTCGTGATTGATGCAATTGGAGGGAGAGCCGTCGCATACCAATCAGACCTGGGAGGGATGGTCTATCCACTTGCTTAGTACTTATCTTTTGAGAGATAGGACTCGGATATACTCACTAGTTTCGAGAACTCTTTGGGGAAGATATTCTCGGGCCCTGGCTCTTTGACCTTCTCCTTCTTGGGAGGCTCGGTTTTTCTGGCAACTGGTGCCGAAGAGGCTTCCTCCTCTTCTTCTGACTGATCCCCGTCCTCGCTCTGCTGAACGTCGTCTTCCTCCTCTTGTTCCTCCTCCTCGTCCACTCCTTCCGAGTCAGATGCGCCAGCCACTTCGTTCTCGTCTTCAATGTCATCGGGCACAACTTGACCAGCAGCAGCTAGCATTGCGGATAATTCCTTTCTGAGCGAATCCTCGTCAGACTTGTTCTTCGACTTCTTCTGTGTCTCTGATGCGACTTCCACTTCAGACTCGGATTCCACGCCCGCCAGCAGATCAAAGTCTTCTTCGGTACCACCAAGTGCCAGAATTTCCTGGCGCAAAGTGTCATCCTGGTTTCCGCCGGCCTTCTTCTCTTCCCTGGCGATCACTTCTCCGTTGCGGTCACGTTTCTTTCCTTTGTTGCTCTTGTCGCTCTTGACTTCACGCCTCGGTTCAGACTTCGGTGCAGCTTCCTTCTCCTTCTTCGGGGTAGCTTTGTCCACATTCTGGTTCTTTTTGTTCTTCGACTTGTGTTGTTTGCCAGCCCGCTCGTCCTTCAACTTTTGTTCGATTTTCTGTCGCAGACCAGCAAATGCACCCTCCTCAAGCTGGGGAAGAGATTCCCCAGCAAACTTGGAATCAACCACTGGAACTGCATTTGCTCCGGAGGAGCTCTTTCCTTTGCCCTTGGCCATTGAAGCGTCGTGAAATGGCCAGACAGACAAAACGCTCGTGGTTGACTTCGATCACCAACTTTTTTTTTTCTGCCGCCCGAAGACGAAACTTGCTGCGGAGATGCTGTTGGCCGCCGGAGAATAGTTTTGCGGTCCCCGAGATGCCGGACGCTTGGACCATGCTTATGGAGTATTGTCTTCAGTATCAGTTGCAAATATGGAAGAATTACATGATAATATGATTGTATAATGTTGCATTGACTCTTATTGTTTTCACTCATATATTCGATTTATTGACATTAATTCTTTGTCAATTCATGATTTCTGGGGTTCGCCCGATCCCGGGCCGCTTTTCGAGGACATGTCGAGCATACTTGGGGACGATTCGATTAAGTAGAGCTCAGAAATGCGCGTTTCACGTATTATTCCCAGGATCTGGTCAGTTGTTGCTCAAGTACTGAAATATCATAGGCGGATGGTAGAAATCGTGTCACCAATTTCTGGATTCCGACGGGAGGCATCTCAAAAAAGCCTTCCTTAGGCGAAAAAGGTATAGTAGTCTTATACTGGCCTTTCCAAGAACAAAGGTCATTGACTTGGATCAGAGGATGCAAACGAACTCTTGATCCGAGGAGGCTTCCTCCGACAGGTAAGCTGCCTTATGTCGGGATGCTGGAGCCCGCTCTCTGACTGTTATGATAGGCCTACTCGGGAATATTTCATATGTTACCGCTCGGATTGCGGGTGCAGGAAAAGCTAGAGCGTCTTATTGATAAGCATATGCGATCGGTTGGTGTGTAAGGATTGTTTGCTTTGCGAAAATCTCTTTCATTGACTTGGTTCTTAGGTGCCTCGAAGGTATCTCTATCGTCTATATCTTCTCAAGAGCTCTGGGAACAGTCAGGTCGTCTGAAAGAAGGTTCAGAGGTGAATTTCGTCCACCTTTACTGGGTATTTCACACTAACTCAAGCATACAGGTCTTCAGATTTCTGGACCGGAAAGAGTCTCGTTTCCTTCTTGCCCCTACTCATGAAGAGGAGATTACTACGTTAGTGGGAAGCCTCACAAAGTCCTATAGAGACCTCCCTTTACGCGTCTATCAAATTTGTAAGTGAAATAGTGACCTCTTCATAAACATCCTTGGCTGATGCAGTTACCATGTAGCAAGGAAGTATAGAGATGAACCACGACCAAGACAAGGCCTGCTTCGCGGGCGTGAGTTCCTTATGAAGGATCTCTACACGTTCGATTACAGCGTTGAAGAAGCCTTGAAGACGTACAACTTAGTGAAAGCGGCTTACAAAAACCTTTTTGATGAGTTGAAGATACCTTACCTAGTCGCTGCCGCAGACTCAGGAAATATGGGCGGGAGCCTGAGCCATGAATTCCACTTTCCCAGCTCAAAAGGCGAAGACACAGTGATCAGCTGCTCAAATTGCGACCATGTCTACAACGACGAACTCGCAGATGGAAAGGCTCATAACATTGAGGGGACTCAAAACACCGGTGCTGAGCAAGTATCAGGCTTCGACACGGGGGCAGCTACAACTGGAGAGAACCCAACCGTCTCAGTTGACTTATGGATGGCGATATCAAGAGACAGAAAGACTCTCTTGCGGGGGTGGTACCCCAAGTTCTCCATGCGCGAAGCAAACCAAGAACCCGTGGAACGCGAAGTCAACTCCCATGCAGTCAAATCTATAGCCACCGCAGCCGGGGTTGACATCGACCTTAGCGTAGAGAATCCGCTTGAACAGTGGGTCTCACAGGTCAAGGCTGACAAGAAATCTGGTATCTCCAAATCCTCTGAGCGTCCACAGGTGCTGGATCTGTACGACGCTCAGGTAAGAGTATACAAGCGCCCACCACTAAGTGACCTTCTGGAGAAGGTCAACCGCACCGCGGACGAGATTGATTACTCCATGCTCGATCTCTTCCCTGGCACAAATCGAGCGCTGAACCTCGTTAAAGTACAAGATGGCGACAAATGTACCAAATGCGCAAAAGGTTCATTGAAGACTCACACCGCTGTCGAACTCGGTCACACCTTCCACCTTGGCACCCGGTACAGCGAAGTGCTCCAGGCAACCGTCATGGTCGATCGATCGCTATCCAAGGGCTCTCAATTCAAAGACCAGCTGGTGCCCATGCAGATGGGCTGTCATGGAATCGGCGTCTCACGCATGATCAGCGCCGTGGCTGACAATCTCGCTGATCCAAAGGGCCTCAATTGGCCCCGAGCAATGGCACCTTACGAAGTCGTAGTCGTTCCCGGGAAGGGACTGGAGACGGAGGCAGAGAAGGTGTACGATTCTCTCGTCTCGAATCACTCCTCTCCCGTCGACGCTATCCTGGATGACCGCGACAAACCGATGGGATGGAAACTCGGGGATGCGGACTTGATCGGATACCCCGTGATCATCGTGGTCGGAAAAGGATGGAAGAAGGCGCAGACGCTCGAGGTACAATGCCGTCGCTTGGACAATCTACGCGAAGACGTGCCGTTGGATCAGCTGCCGTCCTTCGTGCAGTCCCTACTAGAGCGACTATGAGCATGGCTAGGCGACCTGTACCCATCCAGTCTGCAACTCTGCACGCAGAACCATGTCCTTATATTGTAAAATGAATGTACAATAGCATTTCAATCAATACCCTAATCTCAATATTCTGCGATTATAGCTGGTCCGATAAATGAGCGGTGCGTGGTGGTACCCACATACTAGTAAAATCGTCCATGCGGCCACTATCTCCACGCGCCGCGGTCAACCATCCGAAAAAAGCACCCATCTGGTCCCATCAATCAATCAATCAATCAATCGAAGCAGACCTCTCCAGCTCGGTCACCTCAACTAAACCAGCACAGTGCACCGGGCCATCTCCTGCTTCCGACCAGAAGCCACGGCTTCCTCCCTTTTCTGCTCGAAAAAGACCACTTACCAACCATCACCACCACCAAAATGCCACCTCCAAATACCCCCGCATCCGACTCGTCAAGCTCAGGCGGAGCTCCCCCGGGCGCCGGTAAGCTCTCTCCTCCCTCGCATGTGCCATTATTGGACGTATTCCATACTGCACGTTCCAATCGAAGAGTAGGAAATCTAAAAGAAGCGTCCACAGTGAACATTGCATCTCTCTCCGTGCCTCAACTCCGCGCCCTCCAAACCCGCCTCACCTCGGAGCTTGAGCACCTGACCTCCTCGCACCAGAAACTGCGCGCCGCACAATCCAGATTCCGTGATTGCGTGCGGTCCATCAATGATGGGGTCGTGGGGTCGGAGAAGAAGGGAACAGCTGAGAAGGATGATATACTGGTTCCTCTGACGAGCTCTCTGTATGTGAGGGGTAAGCTCGCGGATCGAGAGAAGGTGCTTGTTGATGTTGGGACGGGCTTTTATGTTGAGAAGGTTTGTTGAGTATTCCTGCAAGATCACATGTTTGAGGGCTAAGTTTGTCTTCCTCGAACAGACGGCACCGAAGGCCATTGAGTTCTACGAAGAAAAGGTCAAGGGTTTGGAAACCAATTGTGTCGAGCTAGAGAAGATTGTACAGACTAAGAGTGCTCAACTGAGACTATTTGAAGATGGTAAGTATTAATGCCTTCTACGCGGACTTGTTCGATAACTAACTGGCTATTCTAGCTCTGAGACAGAAGATGCTAAGCGGCGAAGCTGTCCCATCTTCAACCGCAGCTGCAGGTGCAGGCTAATTCCATCGCAAAACTTTTGTGACAAGAAAGGGCGCTTATGGTACAGTCTCCAGAATAAAATCAGTTACCATCCTTAGGATTATATGATACCTGGTGGAAATCCATATGGATAAGAGATGACAGGACCTTGTTTCTATGTAGGCTTAGTACAATCTGGCGCAGCATTGGTCATATTCCCCAGATCGCGACTCAGCAAAGTGCGAATCAGAAAAAGCATCTGGCTTACGTCACAACTTATGCGGGCTTCTTCCAGCTGTTTGAGCTGCTCTTGCTCAAGGCGAGCATTTATTCAAAACATTCGAACGTCTGTTTCCAGGTGTTATTGTCCTCTAACTCGTCCAGTCCGCAGGCGCAATTTCTCCACTAAGGTCCTTGTACGAGACTGTCTAGACCCAGGGATTTTATTTAGCTAGAAACCGACCGCGGCAATGGAAAGGGAAGGCTAGCGACTTACCCTCCTGCGGACTTCCTCGCTTCCGGAGTGAGTACCGCGAGTTCGATGCCAATTCAACCGTGCAGTCGGCTATATTCCAGTACTACATCAACTGCTCATTATCTTCAAGCGGGATGTCTGCCTCGGACATGGGAAGAGCAGCAAGGAATGTTATTCCAGTTATTGATTTCAAGGACATTACGCATTCTTGAGAACAGAATCTGGCAAACTAAAGAGCTCAGTCAGAACAACGTGCCGAGATCTGCATCCAACAAGACACGCATTTGAGGGCCGATGTTGACCTGCTGGCGATTTTGACGTGCAGTAATGGCTTCATCAGACTTATCGCTCGAAGGGCTCTTAGGGACTCGCTGCTTCACGTTTTCAGAGGAAGTCTTTGTTGAGCCTAGCAGCTCCGCAACCCGTCTCACCAAAGCAATCAACTCCCAGAATCCTTCGCATTTGCCTCCGGTGGTCTCTTCTATGGGTGGAAAGAACGTGTTCAGACTGGGACTGTATCTTGCCGTATGTCCAAGCGGTATATTCGCATGCTGTCCGAGCAAGTTGTCCCAGTTTGGATCGAAGATCGATGCACCCCAAGAACTTGAGGGGACCTCGGAGATCGGACCGGTGATGGCGGCAGAGTTCTGTCCACCGTACCCTGGCGCAGTCGTGCGGCTGTACTCATCGTAGCGGGCGATCTCGAGGATGTACTTGGTGTTCTTAAGTCGGTACCTGATCGCTGTCTTTTCGACAAATCTGGACACTGGAGCAGAAGCTGGGAAGACGACCTTCCTTTGTGGCTTTGCGGAGATGTCGTTGATGTCCGCAGTGCGTCGGAAATTGATAGAATGAGAGAAAGACCTCAGTGCGGCATTGATGGAGGATGTTTCATAGAACTCGAGGGATTTTATTTCAAGCTGCCAGTCGGATCTGTTACTCATGAATCAGTCTGGAAATGGATACTGCAAGGTCAAAGTTGGCTTTACCTCTCAAAATCGATGACGCCTATCTGGAGAGGGGGCCGCTGGTCGGCAGAATGGCCGCTCTTACGTGGACTGAGCCAACGTCGTTGAGTGATTTCATACTCATGCGCACCAGGACTTTTGGCAAACTCTGCTTCTAACCGAAGTAGCGCATTGTTGGATCCCAGAAACTCAAAGTTCACTGAGAAAGCCAGTTCGGCATCAGAGAGGTTTCCTGTCACGCTGTCGCACGGTTCGAGAATATCGGTGGCCTTGAAACATCTGGCGAGCAGCTCATCTTTGCCAAGGTTCAGTCTGTACGTTTCACGGGAGTCAGTTAATACTTCTGCGTTCAGATGGTGGTCATACGTACCCCGGGATCAAGCGGCCCTTTGTTTGCTCATGCAGCAACATTTCTCTAAACTCTTCAAATTGATACGAGGGCTTCTCGTCCTTGGGGAGACGGTATTCATCCAGCACAAATGATCCGAGATTGATGCGCATGCGCAAATGACCACGAACAAAGGCAACGCCACGCAAAGATCTCTCGATCGCCTGGAGAAGACGAGCATTGTTCTTTGATTGTATCAAGGCGGCTCGGATCTCCCATTGCTCGAAGTCCTTGGGGCGAGATCCCTGGAGGCGTGCTTTTCCAAACTGCTTGTTGCGTTCCATGACAATCGCCTCTTTCATGGAGGCTGGCGCAGGAGGCTCAACAATATAAACCTTGGATTTGACATTGCTATTGGCAATGATTTCACTCCACTTGGTCCTCAAGCACTGCACTATTTGTCTCATAGTATCCCAGGATTGTCCACAGGCGCAAATGAAGGCTGGCATGTCCTTTGGGACGAACAAGTGACAGCCGAACTTCGCCCTGATTACATCAAGAGCCTCTAGTTGTGGACCGAGGGAGTCAACGAGAGACGGGCCTTCTCTGGGCCATAAAAAGAGCATCTATGGGGGCAAGGAGTTAGACTGCAAAACTAGGCTGTACTGTTTCAAGACTGACCTGCTCCGGAAAAGTCGAAGGGTTCTCAGGGGCCTTTCTGAGCTGCTGTAATATGTGTTCGCGCCTTTCCTTCAACTCAACATCTGCCTCCTTGTTGACGGAGTGTGCGTTGATCTTCGCCCACTCAAGCTTTTTCTTGGCTGGAACGGAGGGACTAGTGCACTTTGCAATGATTCTTTGAAGATGCTCCTTTGCGGAGGCAATCTGAGACGGTTCACCCCAAAGAAAGATAGCCTGTTCGCTATGAGTGAATGCGTCGTGACCGAGGCGTTTTCGAACTGGCTTCGTTGAGTCAGATGACTCACCTGGTCTGTATACGCAGGCGGCTTTACGAAAGCACCTGTCTTCTTGCCAATTTCCTCGAATACCTCGTGACGACCTTGAGAGACGTGAGAGCTCCGTCCAGTTATTGTGGTCCTCGCTACTCCGAAGAACCTAGGTTGAGATCCATGTTAATCTTCAAGCCCATGAAAAGAGACCGCGATTTGCCTACTCGTATTTGATGGATCCGAATAGAGCTGGTAGATTCACAACACCTGAAGGAAACTGGAGTGAGTCACTCGTACGGATAAAGTGGATATTGTACCGACCGTTGGGCTGCGCTCCATTACGCCATTTGGCCTTCGAGGGCGAGTCTTTGAAGAATTGGTTTGAATTGTGTCGTGTTGTGGTCTGTCGGACCGCAGGGCTTCCCCACGCTCTCAGCGGTCGATCAATACCTCTTACCTGTGCAGTTTGGCTTTTGGGACTCATCACGCCGCGAGAGGTGGATCCTTGCTGGGCCTGACCTTGAGGCTGCTGTTTCTGTGGTTCGATTCTTGAGGTCATGTTGGATGGAGACGGCCGATGAGATTTAGATGGCTGTTTCATTCGACGCGACTTGGATGCCTTCAAGTCGTAGCCTGGCAGCTCCCATTCTGCAGATCATTGTCAATGAAGCTCAATTTTTGCGGTGATCTTGTTGCACGATTTGAGGAACGGATATTTTGTTCTTACCAGCTGCTCCTCCAGGCTCGTGACTGCTAGATTTTAGTGGTTTGGACATAGATGTTGCTAAGCATCGACTTACTCTCTTGCCATCTCAGAAAAGAATCAATGGAAGTGTTCAACAAGAGGGATAAATAGTTAAGAAAGCCAATGGCAGCACGTGATGCTGAGTTAGACTGAAACTGACGCAGTGACGGAGTTGAATAGATGTAGTGACAGGGAGAAGAATCAAGTATGAATTAAAAGTGAATGGATGTTAGCTAGTGAGCTGGTGATAGGGGATCAGTGAAAAAGTAGTCAAAGCAAACAGGGAAGGTGTGAAGAGCAAACAGAAGAGCTTCCATAAGCAGAAACAGCACCTGAGCTCCTGCCTATCAGAAGTACAAGCATTAGGATTATTGCTAAGTAATTAACTTGCGCATATGTCTTTAAAGGAGTTAAGTACTAGGTAGACTTGATCAGAACTACCCATCTATGAATTGCTGAGATGGCAGAGATGTACAGCTATCAAACAGATTACTTCTCATGCAACCATCAATCATTAGGTAAGAATTTGAGCTTGTATGTATCCCCAATTCCCTGTAGTGCTAACCAGCTGTCATTTGGCTTCACTTCCAATGCAAGTATAAGCGAAAGTGAGGTTTTTTTTGCTCGAGACTTGAGCCGTCCAAGTATCGGAGAACCATTTCATCAATACGTAGCCCTTTGTAATAACATATATACCAATGGCTCAATGCTTTCAAAGCTGATATGCAGTCTATATTCAAAAAGGTATGGTGATTGATTCGAAATAGTGAAAAGTGAGCAAATTGTATACAAGACCTTTTAAGGAAGTGAGGTGGTAGTGCTATGATTCTGATTGGTGGACGGCCTAGCAGCCACACTAAGCCCAAACAGGGTCAAAGTGGACAACGCGCATTGACGCGTCTTAAACTCTTTCTTTAGCTTCAACGCTGAGAGAAGGCCAGACCTTGCAACCCATTTCCGCATACCCGCAATTGAAGGAAATGGCCGTGGCCTCTGTTGGCGAATTTGAGAGTACTCCTTCTCGCAGGCGCAATGCTCGACAACGAGCACAATTATGGATGACCAGAGGTGGTCTAGTGCGCGAGGATTCCGACGACGAGCTGGGGGATGAGGATCTCCCATGGCATTGGGTCTATGACATTGGAGAAGATGAAGATATCAAAAGCAAAGAAACGACACCGGCCACCGATGAGCCCGAGACAAAGTCGGCTCGCAGACGCGCAGCTCGCCCTAATGCGAAGCGCCGACGGAATATCATTGGGGCGCGGATGGGTTCCTTCGAATGTCGGTTGGGTCAAGTCGTGCTGTTGAAATCTCCGGAACCGGGAAAAGATTGGGTCGGCATTATCACTGAGTTTCTAGAGGAAGAAGATGAGGAGGCAGAGGATGGGGTGGTCAAGTCGGTTAACATCATGTGGTTTGCGTCCCCGGATGAGTTCATGTCGACCAAAAACAAGCGAAGGGCGGACGCTTTGCCGAACGAACAATACCTGACAGCAGACTTTAATGTCAACCCTATCACGTCGATCAATGGTAAAGCTACCGTGATGTCCAAGGACGCTTTCTTTGCCAAATA